CTATTTACTTATTCGTTTCTTCGTCCCAAAGTATATTGTAGTTAGAAAAAAATCCTGTGAAAACGGTGGTTTTATTTTCTCATGAAAACTTGTGTTTCTATAATCGCTTATTGTCTTGCTTTTTTCTTTTGTGAATTCTTCTTTAATGATTCCTTGTTTCACGTTTAATGCTAATAATGGATTTATTTTCACTAAATAATTACACTTTTTTGTCGTAGAACCTGTAACATTTGATGTAGTATCAAGGAATATGACAGCAAAGCTCGGACAACATATAGCAATAGAATGCCAGGCGAGAGGAGATGATCCTATTAGAATCATGTGGACGAGAAATGGGAAACCTATAAACCCGTTGACACAAAGGTAAAATGAAAAAGTATCTTCAAAGAATATTCCCGTTTTTCACTTTTTTTTTTCACTAATCAGTAACTATAATGTTTTAACCCGTTGTACCTTTATCACACTTTGGAATCATCATCTCCCCTGCCTTATCCTACTCCCGTAGGGTCGGCGCGCCGGGTTTTCGTCCTCCAAAGCACTCTATCATCCGTCATCTCAGTCATCACTCCCTTCTTGTTCACTTTCACACTTTGGAATACTATGTTATACTGTGTAATAAGAAGTTAGTAAAGATTTATTTAAAATGTTGACTAGCACTTTCAGTATTATTTTCTTTTTCTAGAGTAAAAATATCTGAGACGAAATCAGATGATGGCATGACGAATCTTTTAGAAATTTTACAAACGGAAACAAGCGACGGTGCTATATATCAATGCAGAGCAGGAAATCCTTACGGAGCGGACGTGTACAGCGTTTATTTGACTATTTTAGGTATGAACATAAATTACATCACTCACTTGAACCTTTGAAACATTTACAGTATTCATTTCGAGATGTTCATAGTAAATCTTTGTTGATATTCTCTTGTTATCATTTGTACATAACGTATTATTATCTTAATTTAATTAAATATATTCAACAATTTGTGTTAGTGCAACTGATTTTTCAAATTATTTTTGATTTCAAGAAATAAATCAGTCTAAACTATTCAAATTGATTTTTATCAATAGGAAAAATTAAAACCTATAAGGTATCAACTTAAATAAACAACAAAATTGTATCTTTTAATTGAATATCTTTTTTCTTTTAGAACCACCCTTGCCACCATCAGATTTATCTGTAGATTCAATAAAAAGTCGATCTGTCAAATTGTCATGGCGAGACATGACGCGGTCGTTGGCACAATTTTACAATTTACAAATTGCTAGCAGTCAACGCTTATCTTGGAGTAATGCTAGAACAATAAATGTAACCAGGTAAATTACTCAACATCATTACAGAGAACTTTATATATTTTGTACAATAGTTATTCCAATAATAGTCTAAATGTTCAATGACGAAAGAACCTTAATTGTTTTAACAGTATTTCTGTTTCTATTGAAATAGTTTTATCGTTCATTTGTTTAGAACTGATGAAATACGTCACATGATTGAGATCGTTGACTTAGTACCGGCCACTGGGTATACAGCGAGAGTGGCTGGGGGCAATCAAGCTGACCTAAGCTCGTATTCAACACCAGTAAAGTTCACTACTACTGAAGAAGGTAACAAAGATTTGTATCATTTATTACCATTGTTTAATAGTTGTCTCAAATTGTCATTCGATTTACTTCTTTCATGGCTTGTAATTAAAGTAGACTAATGCTTATAATGCAACTAATTTGTATGCAAATCTATTAATTAAGTTACTTTTATTACCTGATAATAATGGTATGCGTAGCTCCCTCATCACCGCCGCTGGGAGTACAGATAGAGCAAACCGATGGTCCTGGAGAATTGAGAGCAAGATGGCTTCCACCGCCGGCTGATAAACATAACGGTGTTATAATAGGGTACAGGTTAAGAGCTGTGCCACAACTTAATGGGGTCAAAGGTTCGTCACTACAAGTTTTTTTAGTACCATAAGTAAAGGGGACAAACGTGGGGCTAGGACATTGAAGTGATCAACGACGCCCATGGTTATTGGCAACATCAAATGAACTACAGATGCGTTGCCTGCCTTTGAGGAAATTATTAGCTCTCTTATTGAAGGATCCTAAGTCATACTGGTTTGGAAATATAGCCGAGGAACAACCATTCCACAACGCGGCTGTTAAGTTTCCTGAAAACCGTATTGTTGTAGAATGGTGAGGATGATAACTGACAGTCTGTCGTGTCATCTGATGACGAAACTTGGCGAAGTATCTCTTATAATGTAGATATACACATCTAACAAGTGTTTTCAACCAGAAGGTAATCTAATAAATCCAGCTAAAGTTCCCTTTTTATCTATAAATAGCGTATTGCCAGCTCCCTATTTTAAAGGTCAAAATAGGTACAACTATTTATATCTAACTTAATTTGATTACTAACAAAAAGTATTTTTGTGAACAGAAAATCAAGATGTGAGCGATAAAATCATTAAAACTTCATCACTTTATTCGAAACAAGAAACTGTAATTACAGGATTGCTTAAAGGTGTCAGGTAAAAACATTTATTTACGTCTTACTGTATAAAAGTTCTTAAGTTTCCTACAATGTGTGAATCTTCTGTTCAGATACGCAGTTTCCATAGCGGCATTTAATGGCGCTGGGGCAGGACCATTTTCAATACCAATGTTCCAAGACACAAGAGAAGGAGGTATTTAAATATAACGTATTTAAAATTTACAAATCATAACTAAAACAGCCTTACGTCTTTATTAATGCTTCATTTATTGCTGGTTTAGTACCTGATCTTCTGTTCTTGTCTAGCGCCGGAAGAAGGTCCTTCGTCAGTAGAGTGCGGCGGCGTAACGTCCACCGCACTTAGAGTGAGCTGGCAACCAATTCCACCTCACAGACAGGCTGGAGCTCTTATAGGATACACCGTATTGTATGCAGCTCAAGGTAGGTTGATGGTTGTAGCTAGGTTTCTATGTGGCGGTCGCTGTTAAGTTTTAAACGAATAAAACGATTTTTAATTTAATTTAACATGTTCATGTTCGTCCTCTTCTCCATTACTTCTTTACTCAGCATTAAGTGCTGATCGCTGTTCTTTTCGATTTATCATCCGTCCTTTCAATCGTCACTACTTTTAAACAAGTCAATTTTTCTATGAAAAATCATCGAAACATTTATGGAGCGATTTGCTCAAAGAATTCATTTCTCGTAAATCTTATTTTAACTACAAACATATTTTTCTTAACAACCTTTGTGATTCTGATATTAAGTAATGTGACTTAAATGTTTTATTCCATCCAAATTTTAAGTTAAACAAGTAATAAAAACAAATTCAATAAACATAACTAAGTTGAAGTGCTAACTTTGAACTAACGGAACAAGCGCTACTGTAAAAGATTCCTTTGAAATGCCTTCTATAGTTCAAAATTTATGTAAACGAACAAAACTTGCCAGCTCGACAATGGCAGAACGCGACGTCCCTTGTGACAGAGTTGCGCTTGCAAGGCCTGCACAAATACACCAACTACACGGTCAAAGTCGCAGGATTCTCAAACTACGGCACAGGACCATTCTCCTTTCCTATTGTTTGCGCCACACTTCAGGATGGTGAGTACTATAAACTTTAACACTTTAAAAGCTTCTTTTTTACTTTATAAGTTGTTTAGTATAGAAAGAATAAAGTGCTCTTTTGCCTTCTTAGCTAGCGTTATTTTTAAATTCCAATCCTTTAAGGAAATTTTATAATATAATAGGAATTTAAATTTTATTATCAGTTAAGCCTTGTTTTAATTTTAGTCCCTGAATCGCCGGCTGAAATCAAGCTATTGTCGCAATCATCAACTACGTTGCTCGTTAGCTGGAAGAAACCAAGACAGCCAAACGGAAGATTGCTCCACTATACTGTCTACTGCAAGCCAACAGCTAGGTAAGTGACCTTTGATTCGATCCAAATTTTTAAAGTTACGTTTCTAAAGTGACAATAAGTTTATCATTTGTTGTAGCAACGACGGACCACAAATACTTCGTATAGATGCGGAAGAGACTGTAGATGTTTACGAGAAGACACAGACGATGGAACTCAAGGCGCTTTATGAAGGTCGCCAGTACGATGTATGGGTGACCGCTAGTACCGCAGTCGGAGAAGGACCAGAAAGCAAACATGTTACAAATACACCATCACAAAGAGGTAAGTTAACTGAGTTAAAAAAAAAATATTCTGAGACTGCGTTATTAACTTTTGACTGATTGGTGTAGGAAAAAATGTAACCTAACATTTTGAGCAGAAATAAAATATTTGAAAGCGTATTTATAATAACTTCTGCGTCGAATAGTTTCATTAAAAACATAGAAGGTATTAGAAAAGTATGTTGTTAGAGTAATTGAGGTTTATTGAAACAGTATTTCATATAAGCAATTTAATAGACGATTGGTTGGGTGGCAATTATTTTCAAGCGCTCGAATGCTTCCAAGGGCACGTTCGGTTGTTGGTCAACATTAATTACTTCATTGCCGTACATAAATTCTTTTTCTGTTTTTATTCCAATTGTTCATTGTAAATTTCGTATAAAAATATTTATTTTACGCTTACTTTGGTTTCTTAATAAAGAAGTCAATTAGTGTTCCAACAATTAATAATTCAAATTACCATTCTAAATCTTAACATTGTTTTCTTCCTTAAAGCGCCATAAGTTACAATCGGGCTTTTTTATTACTTCTAAACATACAATAAAATTAGAATGACTGAAATATCAAAATAGAAATTCCAAATTTCGGGAAGATGTATTTGCGTTGCTGGTAACGAAAATCGTATTTTTTTTTCTGTCTGTCTGTCTGCAAGCCG